TAGTATAAACTATTTGAGGGATTAAAATCCTGAACCCAGATCAGATTACAGAAATAATTTTTGAGAAAACCTTTGCTCATAAACCATCATAACTGTCATGTACTGAAACAACACTTCATAAACAAGACGAAAGGACAGCAAAATGTCAAATTTTCTGATGAAATTTGGTGATGAAAAAGATTCCAGGCTCAGGTTTATTTGCAAGAGCTCCTTTAAAATTGGAAAGGCTCAAAAGTGGCAAACAAACATTGAGTTTGCAGTGAAATTCGATATAAATATTCAGTTTACATGGACTTTAGTATAACACTGTATAGGGTCTTTAAGCAAGAAGTTAAAAACACGGCAAGAGTACTGCACATCAAGTTCCAATAAAGTCAGTCTAGGTGGTAAAAGCACTGAGATAAACAGTTGGTTTCATTGTCCTTTTGTGATCAACTCAAAGCTTGACTTACAAGGTTTCTCTGGCCTTCCATCAGCCAAGGGCCCCTGGGAGATGTCTCCAATGACAACTGTCTTGGCCGAGTCTGGTCCCTGACCCCGGCAAGTGTAGACTCCCGCATCAGTGGCATTCTGGAAGTCTGTAATGAGCAGCACTGACACACCCTCCACTGAGCTCACTGCTTGAATGCGAATCGAAAGATCCGACACTTGATCCAAAGAAAAATTACGTAGGGGAACCACCGAGCCATACAAATCCAGCCATACAGGTTGAAATGTAGGGCGAGCAACGTAAACGCAGGGCACAGTTATGACAGTTGAACCACCAACACTCGATGAAATCACATCACTAATCGAAACCTCATTTACTGTGGAAAGAAAAAGGAAATATAGAACAACATAAAAAAAATTAGAAAATGACTTGATAACAATTCTGAGTAACAATGCTTCTCTCTGGTTCTTTATCCTGATTGGTGGAAACACAGTCATGTGGGGTTCACTAATAAAGGATTGTACATGAAATTTCTGTCAGCACAAACTACGTACATGTAGCTTGGATAAGAGTCGAAAGTATAACTCTTGGTCTAGGAATCCGACCACAACACACAAACATCCATTACTTGCAAATAATCAAAGCAATCAAAGTTACACAAAAGTTAAGAGCACTTTCCAAAAGAGTATTAAAACAAAGTATAAACTATTCGAGGGATTAAAAATCTTGAACCCAGATCAGATTCCAGAAATAATTTTTGAGAAAACCTTTCCTAATAAACCATCATAACAGTCATGTACTGAAACAACACTTCATAAACAAGACGAAAGGACAGCGAAATGTCACATTTTCTGATGAAATTTGGTGATGAAAAAGATTCCAGGCTCAGGTTTATTTGCGAGAGCTCCTTTAAAATTGGAAAGGCTAAAAAGTGGCAAACAAACAACATTGAGTTTGCCGTGAAATTCGATATAAATATTCAGTTTACATGGACTTTAGTATAACACTGTATAGGGTCTTTAAGCAAGAAGTTAAAAACACGGCAAGAGTACTGCACATCAAGTTCTAATAAAGTCAATCTAGGTGGTAAAAGCACTCAGGTAAATGGATGGTTTCATTGTCCTTTTGTGATCATCACAAAGCTTGACTTACAAGGTTTCTCTGGCCTTCCATCAGCCAAGGGCCCCTGGGAGATGTCTCCAATGACAACTGTCTTGGCCGAGTCTGGTCCCTGACCCTGGCAAGTGTAGACTCCCGCATCAGTGGCATCCTGGAAGTCTGTAATGAGCAGCACTGACACACCCTCCACTGAGCTCACTGCTTGAATGCGAATCGTAAGATCTGACTCTTGATCCACAGAAATATTACGTAGGGGAACCACCGAGCCATACAAATCCAGCCACACAGGTTGAAATGTAGGGCGAGCAACGTAAACGCAGGGCACAGTTATGACAGTTGAACCACCAACACTCGATGAAATCACATCACTAATCAAAACCTCATTTACTGTAAAAAAAAAAAGGGAAATATAGAACAAGAGAAAAAAATTAGTTGATAACAATACAGTGCACACTGCTTCTCTCTGGCTCTTTATCCTAATTGGCGGAAATACAGTCATGTGGGGTTCACTAATAAAGGCTTGTGCATGAAATTTCCATCAGCGTGAACTACGTGTACGTAGCTTGGATGCGAGTCAAAAGTAAAACTGTTTGGGCTAGGAATCCGACGACAGCACACAAACGTCCATTATTTGCAAATAATCACAGTAATCAAAGTTACGCAAAAGATGAAAGCAGTATCCAAGAGAATAAAAAAAAATTGAAACTCTTCCAAGAATTGTGATACAAATGGAGCTTTGGCAAAGAAAAGCAGTTTATACACACCAAATACTGATGGCTATATTATCGACAGTTCCAAATATCAATGGAACAGATTCCGAAAACATCCGCCTTTTTCAGAATTTTTCAGAAGGGGGAATTCTCCCCACTTAAGTCACATGACCAGGTGGCCGCTGGACCTCAAGATTTCTGGAAATAGTTGGTACATGTATCTTTGGGTCTGGGTACCTGACCATGATAAACAGAGCATGAAGATGGGTAAAGAAACATCACACACTGAGGAATGGATGATCCCAAACCTGCTATCAAAATTTTTTACAAAGATACAGCTGTGTGTGTTGGTCCCTTTGATACATAAATATGACATTTTTAAGAAACACAGAAATATGAGGAGTTGAACTAAAGGGTTAAAGACTTCATTCATGAGTCGGCCCTATTGAAATAAAAAATAAACTTGCTTTTATTCAGCGTAGATTTCAACCATGAAAGCAACAAATGATGTTTCAAAACAATTACAAACCTGTCTTGTGATAAATTACCAACTGGACTGGTCCTTATTATGTGAGGGACTGGTAGCTAGCTGCAGTTTAACGTGTGCGATTAGCCCTGTCACTTTTGCTTGAATATTTAAGTTTTGTCAGGTCAATAAGAATGCTTTAGCATGAAATACGTTTCTGCAGGGAGGCGAATAAAACAAAAGTACATGTACCTATCCTTGCTAAGCCTCTGCTGATCACAGTATGGTAATTTATTTTTCAATGATTCTCATCGATAAATCATTTTATGGCAATTTATTTCACATCAGTGGTTATTGTGTTAAATTTTAGAGAAATGAAAAATTTATGGTGAAGTAATTTTCAGTAACGCAAAAGAAAAAGCAAAATATGCTACATGTATGTATCAATTCCTACTTGATTTGTGCATTGAGCCGGCATCATTTCCTTATTTACATACAAGCGGCAGGATTCTGCCAGATTCATCCCTGGTACTAGTCCCTACATTCACAAGACATCGGTAAGACGTCTGTATGGAAACTACGTACGGGATGGAAACCAGTCTGATTACCTATGTGCCTTTCGGTAGTGCTTACCTAGATCTTTAGCTAGATTTACATCATGCAAAAATAATGAAACAGAGGCTTAGAATGCGAGTTGATCGTAACACAGTCTATTCCACCTTATCAACAGTTTACAATTTCTGAAACAGATAAGGCGAGGAAACATCAACAAAAAGGCCTAGAAGGGCCATACTGCATGATTTCTGAAGGGCAGTAAATACATGTACTTGTATAGCCACAAAAGTTTGAGGTGCACCGTAAATTAAAAAAAGTCTATCTGTATTTCACTCATGAAACTTCACATGTAATCGCAATTAAAGCATAAATACACTTACATGACATCCTTAGTTAAATTGAGCAATAATTTACGGGCAATGTTAAAATCGTGAAAAAATACACATAGCCACAATTTGCGCAAAATGAGAACTTCTGCTGTTCAACAAGAAACAAAAACAATGACAAATTACAGGGTCAAACTGTTTGAATTGCTATTTGTTGAAGAACTCGACTGAGAACATTGTTTCAACTTACCACCAGAAGGGGGCATTTGGCTGGTGGCGAGTGGCCCTCGGGAGATGTCTCCAATGACCACTGTCTTGGCCGAGTCTGGTCCCTGACCCTGGCAAGTGTAGACTCCAGCATCAGTGGCATCCTTGAAGTCTGTTATCAATAGTGTTGTGACACTCTCTGATGAATTCACCGCTTGAATGCGTATGGAAAGATCTGGTCCTTTATCTGAAGAAAAACTATGCTGGGGAACCACTGAGCCATACAAATCCAGCCAGACGGGTTGAAATACAGGGTAAGCAATGTAAATGCATGCCACAGCTACGAAAGTTGAACCACCAACACTTGTTGAGACCACATCACTAATCAAAATCTCATTTACTGATGAGGGAAGAAAAAAAGGGAGATATAAAACAAGGGGAAAAAATTTACAAAATGAATTGATAATAATACAGATGAACACTGCTTCTCTCTGGCTCTTTATCCTGATTGGCTGAAATACAGTCATGTGGGGTTCACTAAGAAAGGCTTGTGCATGATATTTCCATCAGCGTGAACTATGTACATGTGCGTAGCTTGGATGCGAGTCAAAAGCCGACCTTTTGGTCTGGGAATCCGACGACAGCACACAAACGTCCATTATGATTTGCAAATAATCAAAGTAATCAAAGTTACGCAAAAGATGAAAGCACTATCCCAGAGAATAATATACACACCAAATATTGATGGATATATTATCAACAGTTCCCAATATCAATGGAAGGGATTCCAGAATTTCTGCTTCTTTCAGAACTTTTTAGAAGGAATCTTCCCACTTAAGTCACATGACCAGGTGGCCGCTGGGCCTCAAGATTTCTGGAAATAGTTGGTACATGTATCTTTGGGTCTGGGTACCTGACCATGATAAACAGAGCATGAAGATGGGTAAAGCAAACATCACACACTGAGGAATGGATGATCCCAAACCTGCTATCAAAAATTTTTACAAAGAGATATACAGCTGTGTGTGTCGGTCACCTGGATACATAAATATGACATTTTTAAGAAACACAGAAATATGAACAATCGAACAAAAGGGCTAAAGATATCATCAGTTGACCCTATTGAAATAAAAAGTGAGCTTGCTTTAGTAACTCAATTACATGTACTGTACTCCGGATTTCACAAATGAAAGCAACATATGATGTTTCAAAACAATTACAAACATGTCTTCTGATGAATTACCTATTGGACTGGTACCCATCCCTATTATATAGGGACTGGTAGCTAACCGCGGTTTAACGTGTGCGATTAGCCCTGTAACTTTGGATGCTTGAATATTTTATGTTTTGTAAGGTCAATAGCAATGCTTTAGCAGGAAATATATTTCAGCTGGGGAGGTGAATAAAACATAAAAACATGTACCTATCCTTGCCAAGCCTCTGTTGATCACAGTTTGGTAATTTATTTTTCACTGATTATCATCGATAAATCGTTTTAATGCAATTTATTTCAAATCAGTGATTATTGTTTTAATTTTAGATAAATGAAAAATTTACAGTGAAGTTATTTTCGGCAATGAGAAAAAGCAAAATATGTTACAATGTATCAGTTCCCGCTTGATTTGTGCATTGAGAGGGCATCATTACCTTATTTACGTACAACCGGCAGGATTCTGCCAGATTCACCCCTGGTACAAGTCCCTACATTCACAAGACATCGGTAAGATGTCTGTATGGAGACTACGTACGGGATGGAAACCAGTCTAATTACCTATGTGCCTTTCGGTAGTGCTTACCTAGATCTTTAGCTTACATCATGCAAAAATAATGAAACAGAGGCTTGGAATGTGAGTGGATCGTAGCACAGTCTATTCCAACTTATCAACACTTTACAATTTCTGAAACAGATAAGGCGAGGAAACATCAACAAAAAGGCCTAGAAGGGCCATACTGCATGATTTCTAAAGTGTATACCATATATGAAACAGTAGCCACAAAAGTTCGGGGTGCACCATGGATTAAAATGTTTATCTGTATCTAACTCATGAAACTTCAAATGTAATCCGGGCAATTAAGGAATAAATACACTTACATGACATCCTTAGTTAAATTGAGCAATAATTTACAGGCATTGTTAAAATGGTGAAAAAGGCATGTTTCCCGATTTTGCACAAAATGAGAACTTCTGCTGTTTCAACATGAAACAAAACCAACAAATTACAGGGTCAAACTGTCTGAATTGCTATTTGTTGTAGAACTCGACTGAGAAGATTGTTTCAACTTACCACCAGAAGGGGGCATTTGGTTAGTGGCGAGTGGTCCCCGGGAAATGTCTCCAATGCTCACTGTTTTGGCTGAGTCTGGCCCCTGACCCTGGCAAGTATAGACTCCGGCATGAATGGCATCCTGGAAGTCCGTTATGACAAGAGTCGTGATACTGTCCGTAGTGTTCACTGCTTTGATGTTAGTCGAAAAATCTGGCGTCTGATCCAAAGGAAAACTACCAGGGGGAACCTCTGAGCCGTACAAATCCAGCCAGATGGGTTGAAATGCAGGGCGAGAGTTGTAAGCGCATGCCACAACAATGAAAGGCACACCATTCATATCCATTGCATGCACATCACCAATCACAACCTCATTTGCTGAGGAGAGAAAAGGAGAAATAGAAGTCATTCAAACATATATAAAATTGGGTGTATTGCAGGTAAGCACAAATTGAAAGTCAGTGAATGATGAGAGCCAATGCTGGCTTTAGTTTTACTTGTTAAGTACATGTAGTTCTGTGTTCTTGTTTCTTTCTTGGCAGCGTGAGTGGCTAGTGTGTAAAGCATTTGTATTTCACAGACCAATATTGCTCCTTTGGTCCTCCCGAAGAGCTTTCTGTTGGCTAGCCTTGACCCAAACATTGATCTCCAACTTCCAGATAAGCAGGCTGGCTTCTGCTGTGGGCACTGTAACATCGACCAAATCATTGCCGACAAATGACATTGAGGTCGGCTTTGAGAAGGGGCACAAGGCAGGTGCAATCTTGGTGGACCTCACCACGGCTCATGATGCGGTGTGGCATCAAGGCAAGTTCCTTCGGACTCTCCTGTCTAGTCAGTTCATTTCCTCACAAACATACTTGCCAACCGTAGCTTTGCCCTGAAGACTAGTGACGGACAATCTAATTGTCCGCAGCGCCTGCGAAACGGAGTTCCCCAAGGCTCAGTTTTGGCACCAATGCTCTTCAACATACATCAGTGACCTACCAATCACAACCTCACAACAGTATGGGTATGCTAATGATCTAGCCTTCCCATACACATATAAGAGCTGGACAAGCATAGAGCATGTGCTAACAGACATGGAGCTTATTGTACCTAAAAACATAGAGGCTCCAGCTCAGTGTTACCAATCCACCACAACACCTTCTATCTTAACCACTTCATGCCGGGGTTAGTTATCAATGTTGATGAAGCTGGGCTGGGATAATTATTATTTTTTCTGTTTTCAAATTTCTTCAAAAATTCATAGTTTTATTTAACGGACGTTTATACTCACATGAAGTAATCTTTAGGCACTACTCTAAGTTGGCAGGTGACCTTCATTGACGCCCAAGTGTTTCAGCCAGGCCTGCAGCCTTGTAAAAAGAGCCCAGATTGTGCGGTGTTATATAACTTTCTTTTGTTCACGAACCTGGCTTAGTGCACTGCTGACCTCTTTTCAATAGGGGCCAGATTAGCACGCAGCGGTGCTGTGTGGCTCATCTCTGCGGTGGTGGAGCGCTTTTGTCCCCGGTGATAATCCGCTCGCCCTGGTAAACGATTTCAAAACAAGGCTGGATTATCTCCACTTTCGAGAGTGAAAATGTCAGTAATGCCCAGCAGCCTGGTCTTTTGTTCCGAGTACGGTCTTTTGTTACAGGGCTCTGTTCCCTTTGTCCGAGTTCGGAGACCCGGCCACGAATATAGGCCTATGGCTCCGGTACCGGAGTCCCTGGCGGCAAGTGGTTAAGGAAGCGAACTGGCAGTTAACCGTTACCATCAATGCGGCACCCTTGCCCTGCACTTGCTGCCCATCCAACATATCTTGGTGTGAAACTGCCAACTGGACTGTCAACTGACCCACAGACAACACCTCCTAGTTTAGCTGGCACGTAACAACCTCCTACACCATCTGGCGGGTACATCTTGGGGAGCGAAGACTTCTATTCCCCGCACAGGAGCATTGGCCACTGTGTACAACGCAGATGAACACTTCACCCAGGCATGGTGCCGCAGTGCTCATGTTAGCAAGCTAGACCGTGCACTCGATGACACTGGCGGCTCATCACTGGATGGCTTCACCCCACAACCACTGATCTCTCATCAGTCCTGGCAGGAGTAGCTTCCCCAAAGCTACGCAGAGAAAAGCTTACTGATAAATTGGTATGTACCTATGTAAATGCATGCAGTAATGTTAGTAACCCATTGCCGCATGTGATTGAAGACTGCATATACCTTGACTGCCAACGCCTGCCTTCATGGCATCTTTTTCTCTAGCCATGCAACTGCCCTTTGCTATTCCAACTTATATCTGCTGGATGATTTGAAGAGCTAGCACTTGGAAAGACTCCATGACCTGCTCAGATCACATACAGCCCACACACCAAGGCCCCAGCCAGTTCAAAACTGCCTCGAAAGGAGTGGTAACACTTAATTGACTACGTACAGGTGTTGCTCGCTTCAACTTGAGCTTGTATGATTGAGGACTACACCCATCAGCAGCCTGTCTGTGGGGAAGCTGGGCAGACAGAACGTCATGTTCTTTAAGAATGTCCTGTTCTCTTGCCCCTGATGAAGGATTTGACCTCTCCACTCCAACTACATGTATAATCCCTCGTCCCATTGGCTGAAGCAAATGGAAGGAATTGCCTGATCAGTTGCTACCCACACGAAAGAAGAAGCATTCGCCCCCATCACTGTGGTCCTGTTTTTAATTCCCATCCTGGGCCTTATTTAAGTAGAGTTGCTCGTTGGTTGTCTCTTGTGTTGCGAGGATTTCTCTTCCCATGGACACTCACTATCGCTGGCTGTTCTCCGTGGGGAGACGTGGGTCAATTGGTGGCTGCCTGAAATGTTCTTGCCTTGAGCCCAACCGCCATAGTTTAATGTCTCACCACACAGCACATCTGAACAAATATGTAAGTGTATGGAATCTTTGCTTTACAAATGAATAAATTACACATCGATTATTCATAAACAAAGTAATAAAAGAACATACAGGAAGGATTGGGCTGATGGATGCTGTCAAGGGTGATAGACCTGGAGTAAGACTCGCCATCACTGCAGGTGTAGATGCCGGCATCTTGCGAATCGACAAAATCATTAATGATCAGGCGCAGAACATTACTGCCTTCCGATTCCACCGTGACGCGGGCTGACTCTGGAGTTACTGTGGCCAAACAATAGAAAAATGAACTTGTTGGCTTTTCCGCAAAAATCAGAAAATGTACCCATCATCATAAGTATGTCATGATGACATTATCAGTTTTCGTGTCATTTTTAAGATGTCTTTTCTTAGCAATTCAATACGTTAAGAACTGAACCCTCGGTGTGGATGATTTATACACAGAGATTCCAGAGAAGACAGAATTCCCATTTAAGATGACACAATGTGAAGTACAGAGAGATTTATAACATCATGCAATAGCTCATCACACAATCTTGTCAACTGTACGTCGGCACAGTGAGCTTCAATTATGCACAAACATGTGAGTAAAGTGACTTACCCAAGGTCACACCATGTAACCAACTCCTTCCGCTGATCCTATGATTGGAAGCTACTACATGCCCTAACCCTTAGGTCACAAGTCCCAAGATTTGTTAGTAGACAGTACCAGAGTTGCCCTAACGAACAAGAGTTTTTGTCTTGCTGCAACACAATGCATTTTTTTTGATTGGGTGGTTACAACTTCTAGGCTTCTAGTCCATGCGGTACAGGGTAACTTCTATAAAGTTAGAGCACCCCAGAAGGCTCATGTCTTTTGTGAATTAACCCTGTATTGCATGTGATGCACTAAGGGCAGCATTTTGCTCACCACCAGCGTACAGCTTAGTTGAGTTCGGCGTGATCCAGGCCGACCAGAACTTGGAGGCATGATGACAAATCACCTCCACTCTTTTTCCTGTTGCTGTGTCAAGAACTGTCGCTGGACCAATCTTGATTCCTGATCAGGATGATGGCAAAGAAATGGAATAAAAATAGAATGATGCCGACTAGAAAATTCTAGTTCCATCTGGAGTCTCAAGGAGACCATTTTGTGAGGTGGTTACATTCATATCATAAAACATGCAGTTTTAAATAAAATTGCCGTCAGTCTGTCTTGTTTTCAATATTGTAACAAAATCCCTAGATGACTAAACAATGCTCACTTGCATGATAAAAACCTAAATGCTCGTAAATTTCAGAAGCATTTTTCATTCATTTTGGCATGACTCACAGGAGGGATTTCACATTTTTTAATCAACATATACTGTATGCACCGTACATGTAATGTAAACTGTACTTTCTTGATCACATTGGTGGATATTAAAAAATACGAGAGACTCCATCTACAGGTAAAATGCGCAGAAATGAAAACGTCCCAAACTGTGTGGTAACATTCCTGGGCATAGGTGGAGCATGTGCTGTCTGTTTTTAGGAGCAAATCTGGAAGAAAATTCAAGACAGTTGAATAAAAGTAAATGCATCTTCTCTGCAATGGTATGTTTTCTCTAAGTTTGCATGCGGTATCCAAATGATCGGCGTTATCACATATATTGACCTTGAGGTGCACAATGAAAGATTCTTACTGTCTGTTTATGGCGACAAAGCCGTGTCCAAATTGCTTGGCTGCGGCTTGAAATTATACAGGACAGCAGAGGAAGTGGATGCAGCCGTAACTACGGACCCAGAAACAATTTCAAGCTTCAGTCAAGTGATTTGAACATGGCATTTCTTCAAATCTATTCTGGTGAGGAGTTCATACCATTGTAGCAATCACCGTCAGCCTGGTACACCAACTCCTCGCAGGGTAAGGGTGCGATTCCGGCATCTCTGATTATGTCCGCACACTCCGCCCCGACCTGCTCGCACAAATCACGGCAGAGAGCGGGCTTGGCCTCCCGGCTGGTGTTGCAGGGCGACAGGTAAGTGGAGCAGAGTGCCACGCTCAGGTAGCGAGAGCAGCCTGACCGGGCCACCTCGCCATAGCGTTCCAGCTTGTGCCGGATTTCCTCCTGCGTGGCCATGCCGTAGGCGTTGGGTAGCTGAATCTCGGCATAGTTGATGCTGCTCTGGCACCACCAGGAACCCTGGATGGGCTCGCAAGTCGTCGGGTCTAAGCAAGACAGAGAGTCAGAATTCAAATGTTTGTTCACTTCATGCACACATTTTAAAAAAAATACCAGTTCATATGGTCAATCCGTTTTTTTGAAACTGAGACCCCTTGGCACCAACTGTAATTTCTTTACCAACACTGCTGAACTACGTGAAAAACGTTGCTTTACACATTGTGTACAAGCAAAACTGCCTGCCCAAAACTATTTTTGTCTGCCTTTATAATAGGTGGGTAGATTAAACACTGCAAAGGGAGAATCAAATACAAGCTTGCTATCAAAGTATCGTCTAGCTGAATCCAACAATATCAAGGATTGGATAAATAAGCCTTTTGCAAGTTAAAATTGAATAAAATCTAGTGCACTATAAGCTCTTTATATTCACGTGAACATAACCATTTGAATTCTCCACGCTTGTTCTGTGTGGAAAGTTTTGCTTTGTTACATAAGAGATGCCTTGCACCAATACACTGTTTTCAATGGAAAAGAAGCATATGCAGCAAGGTATGAGACGGAGAGAA